GGAAAGGGAAAGGGAAAGGGAAAGGGAAAGGGAAAGGGAAAGGGAAAGGGAAAGGGAAAGGGAAAGGGAAAGGGAAAGGGAAAGGGAAAGGGAAAGGGAAAGGGAAAGGGAAAGGGAAAGGGAAAGGGAAAGGGAAAGGGAAAGGGAAAGGGAAAGGGAAAGGGAAAGGGAAAGGGAAAGGGAAAGGGAAAGGGAAAGGGAAAGGGAAAGGGAAAGGGAAAGGGAAAGGGAAAGGGAAAGGGAAAGGGAAAGGGAAAGGGAAAGGGAAAGGGAAAGGGAAAGGGAAAGGGAAAGGGAAAGGGAAAGGGAAAGGGAAAGGGAAAGGGAAAGGGAAAGGGAAAGGGAAAGGGAAAGGGAAAGGGAAAGGGAAAGGGAAAGGGAAAGGGAAAGGGAAAGGGAAAGGGAAAGGGAAAGGGAAAGGGAAAGGGAAAGGGAAAGGGAAAGGGAAAGGGAAAGGGAAAGGGAAAGGGAAAGGGAAAGGGAAAGGGAAAGGGAAAGGGAAAGGGAAAGGGAAAGGGAAAGGGAAAGGGAAAGGGAAAGGGAAAGGGAAAGGGAAAGGGAAAGGGAAAGGGAAAGGGAAAGGGAAAGGGAAAGGGAAAGGGAAAGGGAAAGGGAAAGGGAAAGGGAAAGGGAAAGGGAAAGGGAAAGGGAAAGGGAAAGGGAAAGGGAAAGGGAAAGGGAAAGGGAAAGGGAAAGGGAAAGGGAAAGGGAAAGGGAAAGGGAAAGGGAAAGGGAAAGGGAAAGGGAAAGGGAAAGGGAAAGGGAAAGGGAAAGGGAAAGGGAAAGGGAAAGGGAAAGGGAAAGGGAAAGGGAAAGGGAAAGGGAAAGGGAAAGGGAAAGGGAAAGGGAAAGGGAAAGGGAAAGGGAAAGGGAAAGGGAAAGGGAAAGGGAAAGGGAAAGGGAAAGGGAAAGGGAAAGGGAAAGGGAAAGGGAAAGGGAAAGGGAAAGGGAAAGGGAAAGGGAAAGGGAAAGGGAAAGGGAAAGGGAAAGGGAAAGGGAAAGGGAAAGGGAAAGGGAAAGGGAAAGGGAAAGGGAAAGGGAAAGGGAAAGGGAAAGGGAAAGGGAAAGGGAAAGCCATCAGGCTTCAGCAGCCTAACTGGAAGACTTGCAGTCTAAACTGAATGACTCTCAATACATCTGATTTGGCCTTCAAAGATTCTCACAACTCTGTAGCATCCCAAAGGACACAAGGCATCTAGTTTCTCCTAATTCATCTTTTTATTACACTTCCCTCTAAGCACAAACTGTGTGCAGAAATCTGTTCTTTACCTGTTTCTGGAAACAACTAATAAAGTGTTACGCTCTCAGGTGAGTCTTACCTATTGATTTTAGAGGGATTACATTTGCCAGTGAGAGAGGGAAGTACAAAATTTGCTATCTAGTGGAAGCAGATTTTAAGTGAAAGGAGGTTGGGTATTTTTAATGGGAGTAGCTAGATGTAGAATTTATTTGCCAGACAACCAAGCTGGACATATTATCACACTAATGATAGAATTTTTGTCTTCTTTTCATAATGTAAAATGCTCAATGTGGCTGTAAGTCTTTACAGACAAAAATTTTAAACATTTCATATATAGGCAGAGCCAAGAAACAAATACATTTCATTAAACAGGCCAATAGTACTTTGCCTTTAGAAATTATTTTAAATAACAGACTGATTTTTATATCCAGTATGATTTTAAAAGTAATAAATAAGGGGTTTTTTTAAAGTAATACATTAATGTGTGCTTGATCATATTACATTTCCAGTATAAACAGTTCCTAATCACTAAATAAAAATAGGCACATAGATAATATTCTCAAGACTGCATCTGACATGCCTGTTGAGCTAGATTTGGGAAGGTACACTTTGTGCTTGTGAACAAAAATGATTTTTTAAGTTTTTAAACTCAGAATAACTTGTAACTCTCAAAGACAATGACAGGTTGAAAAATACAAAATTTTGCATGATGATCAATTTAAAGGCAGAAAGCAATTTCATAGGGCAGTATACTGAGATATAAAGTTAAAAAGAAATCAATGCATCTACTTTAGGATTATGGCAGCAGCTGGCAGTGAAAAAGACATGGGTTTTTAACAATATCTACAGTCCTTGAATGCAACCATTTGAATATCGGGCACATTTACATACGGCACAAACTGTTATTTGCTTAGGTTTGGGTTATGGTTTGTTAAAAGCATGTCCTAAAAATGGAGAGGAAAAAAGAAAAAAAAGAAAAAAAAAAAAAGGGGGGGGGGCATAAACTTCATCTGAAGCCTCTTATTTTCAAAGATGTCAAGTCCACAAGCAGTAAATTGGTATGAACAGATGTAGGACCTTGCCCAGGTATCTTACATGCCAGAGCTGTGCAAATTCATGCGAGGGACACAGAAATTCTGGGAGGTTTTTAGGAATGAAACAAGGGTGAATTTTTTGTGGGTTGGAAAGAGACCCAACCCAGTACGGCATCACGTGGATTCTTACTGACACCTGGGTGTTTAAAGCCTCTCATGCTGAAGTGAAGCTGCCGTGGCATACTTCAGCAGGGGCATTTGTGAGAGTCTGTGAGGGCAGAAACTGGACTGCCATGCAACTGAAGGGAAGCCAACAGGAGAGCAGCAGCAGGAAGGTACAGGCAAGGAAAAGTCAGGACACTTCAGTGCAAAAGGGAAGGCAGCTAAGGGTGTATCACTACTCTGACAACCTGGGGTAACAACAGGAGTTTAAGACATATACCACTACCACTATAAAATACCGTCTCATAATTTGATTTGAATTATATCCCTGGAAGTACCTAATGTGATCGGGGTTACAATTCATGTTTTCTTCTGAACTAAATAATATTTATTTAAATGACACTTGATATGAAATGGGATTTACCCTTTTTTTGGTGTTGCCACACTTCATCTGTCAATTTTTTAAAATAAATGTCAAACATCTTTTGAATTAAAACAAAGGCTTGCATTAGTTGAACATTTTGTTAAAACAACTTGGGAGTCTGTGGGAAAACCTTTGCTGGACAACATTTAATTTTATTCGTATGCCCCCATTAACATAATAAGTATGTGTTTGGATACAATTACACCCAGCTGTGTTTTGTTTTTGTGTTGCTTTTTTAACTGGACTACCATAGTTCAACTAGTGAGATGCCTGTCAGAGTGCTCTGATGCAAGATTCTATTTAGTCTGTAGTATATAATTTGCATACTAATACTGTAAATAGTTTTCAAACAGATTTCCTGGAAGACTTGAAACCTCTTCTATATGTGTAAATATAAAGTTTATTTCTTTCAGGACTAATCTGTATGAAAACAATTCCCCCTCCACACACACACAGGCAAGTCTTGTGACCTTGTTGAAAATATCATACAGCAAGATCATAACCAGGGTAGAATTTGGCCCTCATCCGTTTTTAAATAGCTGGCTGAAAAACTGTCATATATTCAAATGAAACTTAGATTCTTTTCATCAATTTGTTGGCATGTCTTTATCTTAAAGTACAAATGCCTTTGTATTAATTTACAGCAAAGGACGTGTCAGTCCAGACATGATAAATTATCTGCTGAGATAAATGGATGCAGATAAGTAATATAAAAAAATCAGATTTTTTAAATCCCTACTTCAATTATTTGATAATCATGTTAGTATGAATTCCAAGCAGCACAACTTTCTATTGATGCTGTCTACGAGGCTGCATAATAGGATTCTGCCAAGAAAGAGTGGAATGAGGAAGCCTCCTCTGCAAGGAGAGGACATCCAACAACTCCAGGTCCAAGAATTTACATGCTCGGATCTGGCTACAGCCAACATTTGAAAACAACATCCACCCGAGAGTATGTTTAGTTAAAAAAATCCACTTGATATGCATAATCTTTCCCTGATAACTGTGGCAACAGCAAATTAATTAATTAAGCCCTTGCAATAACAGGGAATTAATTTTTTGACACCTGTAGCAACTCTTTGGAAGAATTCATTGTTTACATCAAACGAGATGCTTTAGCCATGGTACATTTCCATCCAAATAGTTCAGAATACCTAATATATATAGTCTGAAGCTGTACAAAGTTGTACACTCCAAGGGCCCTTATTACTGCCTGGCCACATAGCCAAAATCAATTTCTATCAACACCTTTTAATGTAAAATCTCTTTGCTATGATGTACTTG